CAGTGCTGTCCTGGGTCAAGAGGGTGGCTGCTGAAAGACCTTATGTCTGGCAACAGAACTCTGCACCATGCCATATAAGCAGAAGAAACCAGTCATGGTTATCAGGCAATTCCTGCAACCACACCACTCCTTACATCTGGCCACTTAACTCCTCAGACTGCAACCCCCTTAATTATTATGTTTGAGTTGAGGGAGAGACCAACAAAACTCCTTGTAACACCAAAGATGAACTGAAGGCAAGGATTATGGCAGCATTCACCAACTTAAACAAGGAGAATGTCAAGAAAATTCAGAAGTTGTCTGGAAGCCAATGGTGATTTTATTGAATAAGTTTACTCTTTAGTATTTCAAGATATTTTTGTGTAATTTTGGTAAATATATCTGTTAAAATGAGATGTCAGTGTTATTTTTGTTTTTATGTAATCTAGATGACAATTTATCAGTTGCACACTGTATATTGCACATCTATTATTGTACATTGGTTAGAACAAAATTTTATATAAATTCTGCCTTCTGAAAATTGTGTTATAGTAGGGGGAGGGGCCCCTGTATACTAGATTCAGGGTTGTGTGGCATGAAACCCATGCAGAGGCCATGACAACAGTGTTTTAAGAGATAGGATAAAAATGATCCATCCATATTAAGTGTTGTTTAGGTTGACTAATAATTAAAAAGGAATTTTTATTTACTTTCCCTAACAAAAATATCAATATATACAGTATATGGAGTTGGGTCTTTATGATGGCTATGTCAGTAGCAAACTTTCTACATGTGACTGTGTTCACTGCAACAAATAAAAGTAAAGATTTCAAATGCTGAATTTAAGACACCCCGTTCTTTCAAACAGGAGTAGAGGTTTATCCTTTCTTTCCTGTATAGGATTGGGTTTCCGGTCCCCTCTGAAATTTTCTTATTCTCTTTCACTACCGATAGTCTCTTGTGTCTTAGTGGCTTTATTGCCTGGCTTGATTAAAAAAAATATACTGGCCTATTTTTGTTATGGAGAATAGCGCGACACTATGGTTTGTCTATATTTCTGAGATGAAGTATTGTAACTATTTACATTGTTTGGACAGTTGATCACATATTTATTGTCATAGCCATGTTTCGGCTGTTGTATGTTCCGGCCTTCTTCAGATGATAGATGCTGGAATTTGAAACTGAACCAAGGATACATGACCCAGTGGATAAAAGCATTGGTTGACATAATCTAGTGACTTGACCCAAAGAGTTGTGAGTTCAATACCTGGCCACAGCAGAGGTGAACAAAAAAAAAAAACTTGGAGAGTTGAGTTAAAAGGGAGATAACTGATACTGAGATATCTAGAAAAGGCATGGCATGTGGAACTAGAAGAATCTACCCTAGTGAATAAAGCCAGAGCATACAACAGCTGAAACATTGGGAATAAGAAAATAAAGATGAAGACAACAGTGTGAACAATGTAAATACTGTAAACTATAGTTCAATGTTCAAATAGCATTGAATAAATGACGCCATATTGTTGGAAAATGATATCTGCTGTTCTTCTATGAATCATCAATCGATGATGCCCATTCTTTAAGGGTTAAAAATTCTTGTTTACATAAAAGAAATTCTTGTCGTGATATGAGTGAACTTAGATGAATATACAAGTATAAGCAACAGATGCTCTTTTGTGACGAGACTCATTAAACTAAACAAAAATCTGCGCATCAGTGCACATCAATGCAAATATTGCCAATGATTCTAGCTGCAGTGATAGCAACAAGTGGACGTTCCAGAGCATGTCTGCAACTTGACTGCTTCCAGTTGAATCATTTCCGTTCTCCAGATTTCTAATTCTACAAATAACAGATGCAGGTGCAGTTGCATAAATGAAAAAGTATACAATTCCATCATCATCATCATCATCATCATCATAATCATCATCATCATCATCATCATCATCATCCTTCTTCTTCTTCTACTTCTTTTTCTTCTTCTTCTTCAGGACATGGACAATTATAGCTCTCCACAACTTCCTATCCTTTGTAGCTCTTAGTAAGTTTTTTTTCTTTTCAGCTTCTCTTTCATTCTCTGTTAAATAAGTTATTTGCTGTTTCCCTCTGTCACTCTTGCCTTTAGTATATCCTGTGAGTGTCAAATTCACAAATCCCTCTTTCCTCATTATGTGTTCTAAAAATTTCAATCGTCTCTTTCTGATTCAGCATCCTTTTTGTTTCCATTTTCTCTAAAACTTCCTAAATTACTCAAGTGGTTTTCAAAAGGTATTCTCAGCATCCTTCTGTAGAACCTCATTTCCATTCTCGAGTCTCTTCTACATCTGTGAGGAGATTATACCAATGTCCACTGCCATAATACTGATTCTTTGTTTCTAATGAAATTTTCTTGTTTCTTAATACTTTGCTTAATTTTAGAAGGCATCTTTTGCCATTCTAATTGACCTTCTGATTTCTGTGTCATATACTCCATCTTCTGTTAAAACACATCCCAGACATTTAAACTTCAGCTTGAGTTTTGCATCTCTAATTTGTAATTCACATCTTGGAGCCTTCCTCCTGCTCTCAATTATACATTCTATCTTCTTACAATTGATGCTTAGTCCTTTCTTCTCATTTTCCTTTATTAGTAGTTCCTGCAGTTTCCATTTTGTGTGTGCTACCAACACTGTGTTTGTTGGAATTTTTGGGTACCCCAGTACTAGTGAGCCAGCCAAAATGAGCTGACCCATTTTATAGTTCACCAACAGAAGGGTTTACCAATCAGAAGGCTCAAAATATTCAATGCGACGTGTATAAAGGCGGCCATGTTTTTTTCCTAATATTCACTGGCAGCCTTTGATATCAAAGACTGATAAAAATAACAGAACAACTGCAGGTGGTATTGGCAATATAGGCGGATTCAGTAGAGTGTCTGACTCGTGAGTATTAATCTTTAACGTTGTTTCATTGAGCAGATTACGTACTGTACAGTATTCTATATTCATAGACTATGGTGAACATGGCAAACAGTGTTACCAAGTAATAAATCTAATAAAGTATTAATTTACTAGTATGATAGCATTAGAAACAAAGAAAAGGGTATTGAACTGTTACATAATATCATTCCTCCTATATGGCAGTGAAGACTGGACAATCTTCACACATATGAAAAAGAGACTTGAAGCAACAGAAATGTGGTTCTACAGAAGGATGCAGAGAATACCATGTGAGCGATGAATAAGTTTTACAGAAAATGAAAACAAAAAGATCACTTTAACATCAGTAAGAATTGAAATCTCTTGGCCAAATAATGAGGCCAGAGGACTTGGAAAATTTGATACTCACATGACAGATTGAAAGCAAGAGGGATAAAAGAAAACAATGCATAACCTACCTAACAAGCTTGAGTAAACAGATGACAGAACAGTATTTAGGAGAGATAACAAAAAGACAAAACTATTTAAGAGCTACAGAGGATAAGAAATTGAAGAGAGCCATGACTGCTTACGTACTGAATGGGGCACGGCACATAGAGGAAGAAGATTCACAGCCAAGCTGTTTGTTCCCATCGTTTTTTAAAATGTCACATCCATTCGGGACATGAGCGATCATGGTTCTCCACATTCCTTTATCATCTATGAACTGTCATGACTTCTTTGGAAAGATAGTGGAGTGGTTTCATGTTGCCTTTTTACACAGTTTTGAATTCATTCATCCTTCTTCTGGGTAATCCTAAAGGTTAGAGGACCCAATCTGCCTTTAACTAGGGAGAGAAGTATTGGATTCATGCCTTTCCTAAGTGGAATGTGAATGGAAAAGACTCAGCCAGAATTTGAAATCGGCTCAATGATTCTAATCTGCTAGATCCACAAACATGCTTCATGCATATTCTTGATTTCATCACAGATTATGCATTGTATATCAAGTTCGAACTATTGTACTCATGTACAGGATCTCTAATAGAAATCATCTAGTAAAATTCTTCATTTTCCCATTCATAAAGAAAAATATATACTTGCATTGTCATTGGAGGAAACAGGAATTTCATGATGTCAGAGGCAGGTGATTGCTATCCAAGTCTTTCAGAAAATACCATCAATAATTGGAAGCAAGGACAAACAAGTGGAAGGAAAAAATACAAATGTGATCTATTATCAGTTGTTAGTAAGAGAAAGGTGGTTTCTTCAGTCTGATAATTTCACAAAGATAGAATAATGTTGATCCTATAGTAAAGATAGAAGAAAGACAGAAGAATATTGATCATTTTACAAATACTGAACTTGATCCTTTTATAAAGACAGAACAAAATTGATCCTTTTATAAAAACTGTACTTGATTCGTTCATAAAGACAGAGAAATTGATCCTTTTATAAAAACTGAACTTGATTCTTTTATAAAGACTGAGAGAAATTGATCCTTTTATAACGTCTGAACATGATCCATTTATAAATACAGAAGAAAATTGATCCTTATATAAAGACAGAGGGAAATTGACAATTTTAAAAAGACTGAACTTGATCATTTTATAAAGACAAAAGAAAATTATTCTTTTATAAAGATGGAAGAAAATTGATCCTTTTATAAGGATTAAACTTGATCCATTTATAAAGGCAAGAAAATTGATCCTTTTATAAAGACTGAACTTGGTCCTTTTATAAAGATGAGGAGAAATCGATAATTTTATAGGCAATTCTTTCACAAGGAAAGAAGGACATTAAAAGACAGAGAAGTTTATTCTTTTATAAAACTAGAAGGAAATTTTTTTTTGATAACAGAAGTATACTGATCCTATTATAAAACATGAAGAAGTTTACCTCTTATAACGAGAGGAGGAAGATTATTCTTTCATAAAGACAGAAAAATGACTGATTATTCAAGAAGGGCAGAAGGATGCTGATAATTAAAAAAGCAGGTGTTTAATCTTTTATAAAGACGAAAATTGATCCTTTTATAAAGACAGAATAAAATTCATTCTCTGATAATTTCTGAAGGAAGATGGACCTTTTATAAAGACTGAAGTTGAACCTTTTATTAAAAGAATGTTGATCCTGCTGCAAGGACAGGGAGAAGCTGATCCTTTTATAAAGACAGAAAGAGTATTCTTTTTTCATAAAGACAGATTAAAGTTGGACATGTTAATAAGTCTGATACTTTTATAAAAATAAAAGAATGTTGATCTTAATTTAATAATTGAGGAAATACAGAAGGATATTAATCCTTTTATAAAGACTGAAATATATGAATTTATTAAGACAGAAGGAAGTTGATCCTTTTCTAAATACAGGAGGAAGTTTATTTTTTCATATAGACAAACATTGAAACTTTTATGAAGATAGAAAGAAGTTGATCTTTTTATAAAGAGAGGAAGAAGTTGGCCATGTTAACAAGGTCATCTCACAGCTCATTCACAGGTGTAAGAGTTAAAGCCTCAATTAAAGCCCCATTAATGTGGCAGGAAGGATATTTCTATGGTGTATATCACACTGAAAAAACACCATTAAAGCAGGTGATACCAAAATTAATGTACATAAAGATTTTGTGTAACGTTGCAATTGCACATGTAGCTGTTTGCTTTTCTCCAGGTGTTTTTTTTCCAGATTTTATATCAACAGCTTGCTGAGAATTAAATCATATTTAAAGGAAAATGAAAATATGGGAAAAAATCAAAAACACCTTCAACTCGGTTATTAATAGTCTTATCACTAAATCAGTTTCTTTGCTAAGAATTGCCATTTCGGTGGAACAGACTCTAGCATGGGGGCTCCGATGAAAACTTCAATCTGGACCTCTTCATGTCAAGGGGCAATTAATATCTAGCCTTCTTAGCCCCATAATCTCCACTTCCGACCAACCTTTTTCTTCATTCATATCACACACAACTCATTCATGATAACCATTCTACCAGTAATCCTGTATCTTGAGGGGCTTTAGGACCTTGTTTTAGGTGAACTTATAAAAACATCTCTCTCTCTGTCTCTCTCTCTCTCTCTCTCTCTCCCTCTCTATCTATCTATCCCAGTCTGTTCATATCTATATATCTCATTCTGTTCATAACTATCTATGTCAGTCTGTACATATCTATCTATCTATCTATCTATCTATCTATCTATCTATCTATCTATCTATTCCAGTCTGTTCATATCTATATATCTCATCCTGTTCATATCTATCTATGTCAGTCTGCCCATATCTATCTATCTATTTCTCTTGCTCAGTCTGTTCATATCTATCTATCTATCTATCTATCTATCTATCTATCTATCTAGGACTATTCATATCTATCTATCTATCTATTTATCTATCTATCTATCTAGGACTATTCATATCTATCTATCTATCTATCTATCTATCTATCTATCTCAGTCTGTTTATATCTATTTAGCTATCTCAGTCTGTCCTTACTTATTTCATTCTGTTTATATCTATCTATCTATCTATCTATCTATCTCAGTTTGTTCATACCTATATATCTCATTCTGTTCATATCTATCTATGTCAGTCTGTACATATCTATCTATCTATCTATCTATCTCATTTGTCTTTATATTTACAACTTCTAATTTGTAGAACAGACCTTTCTATGGTGCTTGAGCACTACAATCTTATTCTCTTCAAGTCAAGGGTCAGTTGTGATCTATCATTCTTATCCTCATAATTTCCACTTACTATCACCTTTTCATATCACACAGCTAATTTTTCATTACTATTTGAACAGTAATCCTCTGTCTTGAGTGAGTCAAGGACCTTTAGATGAACTTGTAAAAACATCTTTCATATATCTTTATCTCAGCTTGTTTATATCTCACTCTGTTTCAGTATCTATCTATCTATCTATCTATATATATATATATATATATATATATATATATATATATATAATAATGGACTCTCCCGTCAGTTTCAACATATGAGAATCTGACAGCTTAGTTGATTCAGTTATGAAATTTTGTGCAATAATCTTAAGTGGCATTTAAGACCTGCTAGTGATTTACAAAGAAGGCCACATATAGAGCAAGAGTGAGGATTGTGAGATGAGATCACTGTTAGATTGGCTGACCTTTTAGTTCTTGCTCTCACTTCATGAAGATGATTCAGACAAGCAGATTGAAAACTGCTGAGTCCACTAAAACACGTTGATCTGCATTCTAATCGCTCCAAGGCTAAGCGCTCAAGTGTGTTATGTGGTATATTGACAGCTGACAAGTTGCTTTTCAGCTTGTCTTTGTATCTTAGCCATGGGCGTCCTACATTCCTGTAGCCCTGATCTAACTTGCTGTACATTAGGATCTTGGGTATCCTGTCATCAGACATTCTCAAGACATGACCAGTATATATATATCTGGTCATGTCTTGAGTGTGCTGGCCTTGTTCAAATTGTTAATCATGTCAGATAATAGTGCTCTCTCCTAGAAACTTTAACTAAGGTCTGCTCAGCATAGTTACAGTATAAACTACAGGTGAGCTCTGTGGGTGTTGAGCAAACACAAATGTGACTGAGCAAGCATTTGCAATAGGGATTGGCGAGCTACCCTAGTAGATAGGTATCCTCAAATACAAGTGGGCAGCTATTATATATATATATATATATATATATATATATATATATATATAAAAATAACTGAATTAGACATAGATATAAACAGATATATATATATATATATATATATATATATATATATATATATATATATCTGTTTGAAATAACTGAATTAGACATAGATATAAACAGATATATACATATATATATATATATATATATATATATATATATATATATATATATCTGTTTATATCTATGTCTAATTCAGTTATTTTTATCTCTGTCGCAGATCTGTTCATATCTCTCTATCTCAGATTATCTTATCTATCTATCTGTCTATCTATCTATCTTCTATTTTGTAGAACAGACTTCTCTATAGTGTTTACCTTTGAGCACTACAATCTTAACCTCTTCCAGAGAAATGTCAGTTGTTATCTATCATTCTTATCCTCATAATTTCCACTTCCTTTTCATATCACATGGCTCATTTATTATAACCATTTTAACAGTAATCCTCTATCTTGTGTGGTTCTCAAGCCTTGTATTGGGTGGATTTTAATATAAAGAATACGGCAATATCTGCTTTTATGTCATTCATAAAAGATCTGATATTTCTGCCTGTGAACTGAATGTAGCGCACAAATTATCTTTACGAGAAAAAAACAAACAAGCAAGGAAAAAACATTCACATAGCTGCCTGGTTAAAATAAAATATAATGAAAATTAGATGACTGTTAAATGTAAATAACTTTGGGTTACAAACTCTCATGTGAATGCTTCCCTGAATACTTTAATCTTAACCTCTTCAAGTCAAGAGCCAGTCATTATCTATCCTCCTTATCCTCATAATCTATTCTTTCTACTACCACACTTTTCATACATACTACATACCTCATTCATCATTACCATTTTGACTGTTCCACTCTACCTTGAGTGACTTCTGTTGGGTGAAATTTATTAAAAATATCCAATATAGGAAGATTTTACAATTTACAGCAGTGGCTCAGAGAACTCAATTCAATTTACTTGAATAGTAATGCTTAATAGCAGTAGGAGCTGCTGCTTTTTAAAAAACCCTTTCCCTAGAGAGCTCAACCGGATTTCTGGGAGCATATATATAGTTATCCACAGACAGACTGTTTTGCTGTATCACAGATCCTCAGTGTAGTTAAATGTCCAATTCCTTCAAGCCTGGATCAAAACCTGACTGATCTGACATCAGTCGTCAGATGTCAGATATCTTACCTCTATCTAGGCTATCCTCGCATGCCAGAATATATATATATATATATATATACACACAACAAAATTGTCCAAATCTTCTAACAGCATAATTATCCATCCTACAAAATGTTTATTATCTAAAACAAACACTAAACTAATTGAGCTTCTTTTTCCCAGGTTTTCATATAAGACCTTTAGCCATCTTGACACCATTTTTTGTAAGAATCACTGAAAAACCCTTTGAGTTATTCATCTAGAAAGAGAACAGATCAAAATGGTTTTGTGTTAGACTGTCTTTTCAACTGAGCAATGGTGAAAGAAAAAAGATCATTCAAGCCTTCAGTAATGGTAACAACATTCATACTCTGGATTTCATTTTCAAAGTCTATTCAAGAACCATCAAGAGAATGATGAATAAGTTAAAAAGACTGAACAGTAGAGAGGAAAACTGGATCAGTAGGTCACAACAGGAAGAGGGATCATCATTTCAACTTAAAGCTAAATACATTCTTATTGTTCAAAGTAGATATTGTTATTTCACCTTTATTGTCCGTGTTTTCTTAAAATATCCCCTCCCCTTTTAATCCTTTGAATAAATCTTAACCCCCCCCCCGCCCCAGGTGTTGTGTTGTTTTTTCTTTTCTTGTCTTGTTTTTCTATTCTCTTTTTTTCTTTGGTCACGTGGTATAGTTTTGATTGTCGCCTATAAATATGCCGTTTCTCTTTTGCCTCTTTAGCCAGCTTTCCCTGACGATCCGCTTAGGTGAAACCTGGGTAGGTTTGTCTGGCTCACTAGGTTTGACTATATATATATATATATATATATATATATATATCAAATATGTGGTGCAGTTCAATTTATATTACAATGAATCATTCATACAAAAAGTAGATTAATAAAGTTAATGATACAAAATGGCGAAATCCTTTCACAAACAAAATTTTAAAGTTGCATTAACCTATGAACCACTCGATGAATGTTATGATCCTTCTTTTAAATAACTACAAGCTGTATAAGGTCTTTTTTTTAATCTGCAAGTACTTTCAACTGTACATTCAGTCATCCTCATGCATGGAAATTATTTTGTTTTTAGTAAAATCCAGGTAGCATCAGAGATGAAAAAATTAAATGCAAATCGAACTAAGTTTTTTTTTAAATGTGTTATTGTTAATGGATTCAAACTTTTGGGGTTGAATTTTTTTGAAAATTTAAGAGAGTGGGTTTTTTACTAATATGGTAATTTGAGAATTTTTCGTGTTGTAGGAGTTTATCAGTCAATGTGGCATGAACTAAATTGTTCAATAAATAGAGTAGTGTCTGAGTTGTTATCCACAAAATTTGCACGTCAGTTCAGTTCATTTAAATCAAATATGTGGTTCAGTTCAATTTATATCATTCATACAAGAATCATTCATATATATATATGCATAAAGTGCTTTGCATAAGTATTCACTCCCCTTGAATTTTTTCATATTTTCTTATGTTACAACCACAAAATTAAATGTATTTTATTGGGATTTTATGTAATGGACCAAACCCAATATAAGGCATCATTTTGAAGTAAGGGGGAAAATATTACTTGGTTTTCAAAATCAGGAAAAGTGTTGAATTCATATGTATTCATCCCGTTTTACTGTAAAACCCCTAAGTAAAATCCAGTGAAACCATTGCTTTCAGAAGTCACATTATTAGTAAATAGAATTCATTTGATTATAATGATTTTTTTTAGAAAAAGAAAAGGTAAAAAAAAGGTATGATCCTTGATTCTACATTCTCTAGTTAAATACAGCTGTTCTTTGAAGGCCTCAGAGGTTTGTTTGAGAACATTACCAAAGAGCTCACCAGACATTTCAGAGATAAAATTGGGGAGAAGTATAAAGAAGAGTTAGGTTATAAAAATGATATCCCATGTTTTGAGCATCTCACTGAGCATTATTAAAACCATCATCCAAAAATGGAAAATGTATGACACAATTGCAAACCTGACACAAGGCCAATCACCTAAATTGACAGGATGGGCAAGGAGAGCATTAATCTGAGAAAGAACCAAGAGGCCCAGGGTAGCTCTGGAGGAGCTGCAATGATCCACAGCTCAGGTGGGAGAATCTATCCAAAGGACAATTATTAGTCATGCACTCCACAAATCTGGCCTTTATAGAAGTGTGACAAGGAGGAAGCCATTGTTGAAAGAAAGCCATAAGAAATCCCATATGCATTTTGCTACAAGCATGTGGAAGAAGATGCTCTGGTCAGATGAGATCAAACAAAATATATCTTTTTTGCCTTAATACAAAATACTATGTGTGGCAGAAACCTACCAGATCACACCATCCCCACCAACACACACACACAAATATATATATATATATATATATATATATATATATATATATATATATATATATGCATAGATAGATAGATAGATAGATAGATAGATAGATAAGAAGAGAGAGAGATATGCACAAAGAAAGAGAGAGAGATAGGAATATATTCAGAGATAGATAGATATAGATGTATGAACACAAAGATTGATGATTTGTTTCTATCTATCTGTCTATCTCTACAGTATGTTCATATATCTATATCTGATTAAATTTCTGTTGGCATATATTCATCTCTCTCTCTCTCTCTCTCTCTCTCTTTATCTATTAATCTATCTATCTAGCTACCTAGCTAGCTCAGTTTATTCATATCAATTTATCTTTCTATCTATAATTAATAAATAAGCTATTGAACCCTGAATGGGACTGTTAGTTTCATACCTTAAGAATCATCAAATCATTCCGTGCTTATTTTTTATATCTAAAATGGTCTGATGATTCTTAAGGCATGAAACTGACAATCCCATGTACTGATAAATTTTCCATCTACAGTGTTTATATCTACTAACATTCAATATAATATATATATATATATATATATATATATATATATATATATATATTTATAATTATAATATATCGCATATATACCACTGGTGTTAATAAAATCAGAGTCATACTAGCAGTGAGGAATAATATATATATATATATATATATATATTTATACAAAGATAAAATTTGTCCCTTAGATGACTGGTGTTACTTTCAGTATCTCGACTCCAGAGTTTTGTCAATGGACCCTACAGCAATCACTCTGTCCACTCGTCAAGGGGTTTCAGCAAGTGACTGTTTATATTTCTTGTTTTTTTTTGTATCTCTAGTCAATTTCAATTTATAAATATTCAGTTCGAGTCTTCATGCCTGCTGTGACATTAAAGTCTGTGCCTATACAAGTCAACAAGTTTGAGAAGTGTGAGAATTATGGGATGTTGATGCTGATATATCTGATGATACCTCACTCCTGCTCTCCACTCCTGTCTATCCAGGGCCACTGTGTCAAATGTTGAATAAGGTATGTTAAAAGCTACAAGATTGCTCTTGAGTTTGTCATTACACCTCAGCCTTAGTTTGCAGACATTCAGCTCTCAAGTATTAAGTGGGCTGAACATGAAACCTTTAGGTCTCATGTCCGTGTTCATTCTGAAAACATGACCAGCACAGCAATTTGCTTTTTTCTAATCATTTCACTTCAAGCAATAAAGCTACTAAAATACAACAGTGTGAAAGAACTTGAGAGAAAAAGAAAATATTATTAAAGAGAGAGAACAATAAAAGAAAAGGCATTGAAAAGAAGAGCTATGAAACTGCATAAGAAAAATTACAATGCTTCCTATCTTGCACTTGATAAATAGATCAGCATTGGAGAAGTTGTCATTGAGGGTGTAGCCACAGATTATCCTGAGGCAACCTTTATGGAATATATCCAGTTTGTTTATATGCGGCCTGTATGGTGTCCACAAATTGGTCTTATACAAAAAAATAGTTAGTTTGATAGCTTTGTACACGTGAATTTTTGCATTGTTTTTTATATTCCTTTCAGAGACAATGACAGAGTTTACCAAATGCAATATATATATATATATATATATATAATAACAACAACACTTTAAACACACTGGTGGTTTGCTGTAACACATCTAATCACAATTTTGACTGAATAAAGGCCAGTCTGACCAGGAGAGAAAAAGAAGAACAATGCATTGAAAGTGCACTAATCTCACACTTGACAATAAAACTAATACCAGGACCTTACATGATATCACTGATCATTGA